TGTTTCCCCCCCTCCAACTTTCTGCTTTCTCTTCTCCCTTCTCTTCTTTGTCTTTTCCTCTTCCCTTCTTTCTCTTACTCTTCCATCTCCTCCTCTGCCTTTTTCTTTCTCATCTGTCTGGATCTATGCAGCCCCTTCATCTCCGCGCTGCACACAAGCCGCACAGAGTGTACGGCTGGACACAGTCCTTGAAACTGTTTGTCAGCTGTGTGATTTCTTTCTTTAACGAAGCAATGGTGACTGCTTTCTGCAAAGCTGTGGGGTAAGTCCACTCCACTCGGTGGTTTAGACAACACTGCCAGCCACACTGGCCATTTCTGTCCCCTGTACTGCTGGTGCAGGGAAAACTGGTGGTCAACTTCACACCAGCTGAACTGAATCAGCGTGGGGCTGAGTGTAGAGGGCCCACATGAGGATGGCCACCAGCATTAAAAGGAGCCCCAGAGAGGAAGAGTTGTTGTTTGGTGCTGTTGGCTCTCCTGTTGCTGTGGGTTCTCCTGGAGGAGCTTGACAAGTTTCTCTCTTGATATGAACTCAGCTGTTCTCATTGTCAGAGGAGCTCGGAACCTCACTGTCACAAAGAATGACTGCGGTTCATTTTGAGGGAGCTCAGATCCTTACGTTGACCATCGTTCCCTGGCTCCAGAGGGGAAGATGCTGCTCAGTCTCCTGGAGAAGCTTGTCATGCTGGCTTCCTGATATGAACTGCTTTTCTCTTCATTGGTGGAGCTCAGAACCTCACTGTTGCTGAGGATGGTTGTACTTTTCGGGGGAACCCTGGTCCTTATTTTGTGCTTTTTGGCAAATCCCTAAGCCTGCTGGCACAGATTCTTCATCCCGCTGGTATAGACTTTCTAGCTTCTACTGCTGATCTTTGGGGCCTTCCCAATGCAGATCCATGAAATAGACTTGCACAAGACATTTTCTGGGCTCTAGGTCTTCAGCTGGACTCATGCAGGACGTTGCCAGGGGACCAAGGGCCTCAGCTGGATTCTCAAGGTCTTTAGTGTGTGGACAGATTTCCAGTACTTCTTGTATTTGACTCTGGGTGACCATCATAAAATAACACTATAAATTATGTGTCATGTATGGTCTTGTTCTCCTTGTAACCCCTGACTACAAAAATAAGGCCATGATCATAACCCAGAAACAGCACTGAGTGCACCCGCAGCCCCTCAAAGCCAGGGGGCTCAGAACTCATTTCCAGTGCCCGCTCATCTCCTGGTCACTGCCCTGTAGTTTGACACCACTCTCCCAAAGAACTGCAGGCAGAGCAAGGGGCTCTGCCGAGTCAGGAGGGTCCACTGATGCTGTTACTGTTGTCCTTGTGTCCACGTTGGCAGAGGTGACAAATGCCACCTCACATAAGGTGGGCTCGTAGGGAGTGATGCAGAGGACACATGACTGCCTGCAGTACAACATGATCAGAAAGGTGGTGGGGAGACACCCATGTGGGGTACAGAAGCTCTTCGAAGACATACTGACTTTATGCTTCCAAAAACGGAAAGAACAATAACCAGTTATTAGGTTTCCAAAGCTATATTTCTCTGTATCTCTTTAAAGCAGACGTACAGAGAACCCCATGCTCCCTGCGCACCCGTGTTCTCCACAGCCAGAGGAGTCACTGTCCTTTCTCCCTTGGCTACAGGGCAACCACCAAGTCCTATTGGATGACCAGGGACCCCAGCGCCAGCTGACTTTCAGGAAGGGTCAGTTAGATGAGTGAACAGGTTCAAAAGTAAAAATGAAATTACAAGCTGTGCTGTGGATGTGGGGAATGAGATCCCTTGGGCATTGCTGGCAGGGATGTGAAATGGTGCAGCAGTTATAGAAAACAGTGCAGAGTCCTCGATGAAGTGAAACTAGAAATACAGTGGGACGCAGCAGTCCCATGCCTGGGAGCTGAGAGCAAGGTCCTGCAAAGGTGTTCGCCCATCCTCTTTCTGGTGGTAGCACAAGATCCCTGGGTGAGTACTTTAAAAGGAAAAGGATTTACTGAGGTCACAGTTTTGGAAGCTGCAGCTCTGGGACTGGGCATCCCTACATGTTCAGGTCTCACGAGGGCTCCCTCAGGCCGTGTCACACCTGTGCAGACCTGAGAAGGGGCTGAAGCAGAAGAAACCAGACTGCAAAGAGGGAACTCTGGGAACCCAGAGGCTCGGTCCTTCACAAGGTCCTAGTCTCATAGCAGCTTCACTCAGGTTCCCGGAGAACCGCACTAGTCCCCTCCGAGGACACCACCCTTCCTAAAGGGTGTGTTCTGCCAGCACACCAAGGCAGCTCCAGCCGAGCTTCCACGCATGAATCTAGGAGGGAAAAACCAAAGACAAAACCACAGCGCCCACTCTCCCTGCAGCCTTCCTTCCAACAGCTGGGCAGTGACAAGTCCCATTGACAGAAGGAGGCACAAAAAATGGGATGCACGTGGAACAAGTCGGGAGAGAACCAGGGACATCATTCAGCCTGCGGAGGAAGGAAATCCTGCCAAGGGCTACAACCCGGATGAGCCTTAGGACGTCGTGCTGTGTGGGACACCCAGTGACAGACAAATACTGTCCGATTCTATGTAATGTGTGGGCTGGGGTTTTAGCTCAGCAGCACAAGTGCCTACCTGGCAAGCATGAGGTCGTGAGTTCAATTCTCAGTTCAAAAATAAAAAATAAAAAATATTCTGTAATGTGCAAAGCCTTTGGCATAGTTAGAACCATGGAAACAAAAGTAGAATAAAGGTTGCTATGGGACAGGCGGGGAGAGAACCAGGGAGCTGTCTGATGAGCATGAGTCTTAGTAGTATTTTCATGTATTTAATATATTAAGACACGGGCTTGCTGGGTTGCCGAGGCTGGCCTCAGGTGATCCTCCTGCCTGGCTGTTACTACTCATCCACTTCGGTTGTTTTGAGCCGAGGAGGCTTTAGAGAACTGCTATGCAACCATGTGGATCTGGTTAATGCCACTGAACTATATATTTAAAAACGGTTATGAGAATGAATTTATAGCATGCAGTTTCACGATAAAAATGAAATCCTCATAAATGAATGAGCAAATGATGAGATGGATGAGTGAGTGGTTTCTCCCCAAAGAGCTGTGAGAATGTGCTCTTCCTGGGAGCGTGTGAGTTTTAAAAGAAAATTCTTGGGGGTGAAAATAGCAAGCAAATTCTTTCACAGTGGTGGAACCGCAGACAGCTCTGGGGCTCGCCGTGCTGCTTTTTAAGCTGTAATTTGGGAGAAATATAGCTTTGGAAACCTAATAACTGGTTATTGTTCTTTCAGTTTTTGGAAGCATAAAGTCAATATGTCTTCGAAGAGCTTGGCTCCCTTCCATGAGTCATCAAAAACATACTTGAAATTTAATGCGGATGAGAGATACACCCAAAACATTTTTATTTTATTTTTTAAAAAGTATTTATTTATTTACTGGGTGGGCATGCGAGACGAGCTCCCTAGCATGGAGCTCTAGCCCCAGCCAACCCAAACTGTGTTCTACCAGGTTCTGGGCTCGATAGTGTGGCCGAGGCATGGGCTGTGGGAGAGGAATGTGCTTGCTTGGAGTCTCATTTCCAGGACTCAGGGAGTACTGGACTCCTTCCTGGTAGGACACCCTGTATTTCTGCTTTTTCCCACTGTCACTTGTCCTTAGACATAACTTGGCCAATCTTTCCCACTTTTTACAGTCTTTCCAAGGTATTCATCTCGTAACAAAAGGAACTGAATAGGACATGGAATGGTCTACTGAGTGCCTTTTTGGGGCTGGATTCTGGGCCTTGGCAGTCAGGGACAGGGATGACATCCAAGGTTACCAGGCCCGGGAGTGAAATTTCTGAGAGTGAAACCTGTAAAATCTGGATTCTCTACACACTGATTGCAGGGTCTGAACCCACATTTCAACTCGAACCCTTTGGGGCTAGAGAAGACCTTCCTCATTTTTATTTGTATTTTTGGTATCAGGGATTGAACTCATGCTTGCAGGCAGGCGCTTGTGCTGCTGAGCTGTGTCCCGGCAAAGATCTGCTTTATAAGAGTCATCCTACAGGTTCCTGATCTCAGGACAGAGGTGTCCGTACTGTCACTTTTCATGTAAGCAAACGGCAGGTGATTTCCAGGAGGAGCCTGGCTCTGAGTCCGTCTCCTGGCTGTCACTCGGGGCCGCACTCACCATCTGGTGCACTGCATGGTCTTCCAGGACAAAGCAGATCTCCTGCGTTCCCTTCTCTCTGCTCCTCAGGCCTTTCCAGTGAAGTCCAGGCTCTTTGGTCTGGAGGCGAAGACCTTCCTTCCTGTGCCAGCTCTGTCTCCTTCCAGCTGTCAGCGTATGCGTGGGGGAAGGGACCTGAACCTCGAGGAGGACAGAAACCTGTCCCGCCATGTGCCCGTGTGTTCCAGCACCTCTGTGTTTGTTCATGTTTTCCTCTGGCTGCAGGGGTGACTCCTGGGTGTCAGTATGGGAGGGGTAGAGGACAGCTGCCTGCTGGGATGGGGGTTTGAGGGAGTGTGAAGCTGTGTTTACACCTGTCTTTCTGTAGAGCAGCTAAATTTTCTGTCCCAGAGGCTGGGATGTTATGGACCTCCTAGAGGAGCTGGACCACGCTTCTCCATCCTCAGCCGTTTACTACCAAGGCTCAGCCTGGCCACCTCATTCATGATGGTCACCCCCATGGGTGGGCCCTGCCTGCTGGGCTTTACTTCTCAGGGTGCATACTCATCCCCTTTCATGGAGCAGCTGTTCACAGCGGTCTAAACTCCCTTTCTGGTCCATCTCCTCACCTGCCAGGTTCATCCTGCAGTCCCTTGCTGTGACTAACTGGAAAGGAAAGAAGCCAGCACTTATCCTTGGAGGCCAACCACAGGAGTCTTTGCTTTAAATTTCTAGTACTGGGCTGGGGTGTAGCATTTGCCTTGCATGCATGAGGCCACAGGTTCAATTCCCAGAACTGCCAAATAGAAAGTGTCCTAAGAAAAAATTTCAAGTTTAGCAGGGTTAACATATCGGGAGACGAGCTTCCCAGAGCAGACTATTTATTATTCACTCTTTTCAGGAACAGGGAGCCCAGCATGCCAAGGGCTCACACGGGGAAGTACCGGGCATGTCCAGGAGGAGGTGGGGAAGAGTGGGAAGACAGGGATGGCAGGCCTAAGGTTGGCTGGTCAGCGTACTCCCCGTAGCTCTGGGGCACAGGAGTTGTCTGACACTTGCCTGGAGCAATCAGGGAAGGACAGTAGCCATGCATCTGACAGCCTGGGACAGAGCAGGCTAAGTCTGGGCTCTGTGCTGCTTGGCTTGTGATGGTGAGCTGGTTATTGTCTCTGGGGACTGGCTGCTCTTGGGATGGACTGTCCTTCAGCACCAACAAGGCCCCAAATATTAAAGCATCAGCACAGAGAAGACAAGGTGAACACTGTCCTTGAGGAGAAGGTGTCTCTTACTGTGCGATATTCAGGCTGAGCTGTAGCACCCATTAACCCTTGTGGACTCCGGGCACCTGCCTTCCAGGGCTGTTCTCCAAGTGGGGTCAGGTGGGACTGGGTGAATGCATTAGTCAGTTTCTCGTCGCTGGGACACCACGCTCAACACCTGCAATTTAAAGGAGGTGAGGTAACTTGACTCATGGTTTCAAGGGTTTCTGTCCAGGCAGGATTCAGTCCAAGGTGGAGAGGCACGCTGGAGCACAGCTGCTTAGTTCATGGCAGCTCAGGGCAGATCGGGGAAACAACGCCAGGGAGGAAGGGACCTGGGACCATACACAGTACCCAAGGCCACACCTCCACTACCCTTCTAGACACACCTGGGGGTATGCTTTGCTGATGTGCCAGGTGGTTCTTAATTCAGCCAAGCTGACCCAACAGGATAGCGGTCACAGTGAGGACGTCAGAGAGCCCGGCTTGCCACCTTTCCATGTGCTTCCAGCAGTGCTGGACTGTCCTGTGATTACTTGCCCTGGGCAAGTGTGCTCCTCTGGAAGGCAGGGATCCTCTCTCAATGTGAGGTTCTGGTGGGTCACGGGCACAGTTCCTCTCCAGGTGGCCAGGCTCCAGAAGGAGGGGGGAGTCCTTTCCTGTGGGATGAGCCCCCATGAGCTGGGGGACACATGCTGCTAAGCCACCTTGGGAAAACTGCATCTCAGGTGAACTCACTGCTGTCACAGCAGGTAGTATCATAGCCACGAATTCACATGATCTTCACATGCATCCCTGAGGGCGGAAAGGGGTTTGATCACCAGTCTCGTTGCAAGGTGAGTCTGAGGCTTGTGGGTCTGTGCTTCCACCTGACACAGGGAGCATGAGGGGGACGGGATGCCTGTCCAGGTGTGCCCCTCTTGGCCATGGTGCGCTCCTCTATACTCGACAGGAGGATGGGAACTTGGTGCCACGTGGTGCTCTGGTTCTCAGTGCAACACACCCTCTGGCTCCAAAAGCAGGTAGTTTTGCAAGGGCTCAGGCAAGGGTAACAGGGGCACAAGGTGAAAACACTTCTTGCCGAAGAGTTTGCGCAGGGCACAGCGGCAGAGGTGCTGCAGGCAGCGCGGGGTGTGGGCGAGGGCGAAGAGAGACTGGTAGAAAGGCTGGTGGATCTGGAAAAGAAGGCAGGTGGATCGTAATCTGTGCATGGAACCAGCAAGGGTGTCTTCCTAGCCAGGCTGTGGATGGGATAGGCTGGCCTTCTGTGGCTCACAGATACCAGGTAGCAAACATGCGGCCACAAGGGCCACTGTGCAGGGTTTGTGTAACTTTCTGAAGCATAGCTCACCGAGTCAGGGGGAAGCTGTCCTGCTGAGCCCTTCCCTTGGGCCAGAAGTGGCTCAGGAACCTGAGGCTCAGGGCTCAGCCGCACACGCTGGATGCAGGCCAGTGGTTTTTTGAGACAGGGTCTCACTCTGTAACCCAGGGTGGCACTGAACTCTCAGCTTTTCTACCTCAGCCTCCAGGGTGCTGGTCACCATGCCTGACTCTTTCTCACTCTCGTGATCGCCTAGGAACTCTGTCTTGTAAACAAGTGATGCCTGATGCTGTGTGGCCACATCCTGAGCCATCAGTGGATGAGGACCACACACAGGGCCAGACTGGCACATCCAGAAATGGAGCCAGGATCTGTGTATTGGGGTAGCTGCAAGGCCTCCTTTTTGGGTTCCTTTTGTGTGTCAAGGCTCCTCTTTGTTTAGAGAATAATGATAAGAAGTCTGTACATGGCTCAGTATACATGCAGTTTCACCTGTATTTTTGATCTGTGAATGGTGTGCTCCGTGGAAGCACAATCCACAGATATGCAGGCTGGGTGCAGAAACTCAGTCCTGCTTGTGTGATTCCTCAGCCTCCCACCCAGGAAAAAATGGAAATTACACAAATGCACCCTCAATTTCTTCTCCTCCTTCCTTCTTCCAATGCTTAATGCCTCCTGAGGTTCAGTGCAAGACTCCCCACAAATATGCAAAGGAGACACAGTTTGCATCTGAGGGGAAACCAAGCCAGGCGCACACCTGATAGACTTCACCGGGGATCAGCTCCTTCCAGGCCTCGGACACACGGAGCTGAGCGTAGGAGTTGAAAAGGACCTCAATGACCACAGGGACTGGAGCACAGGTCCTCAGCACCTGGTGGAAGAGGGGAGATCTGCTATAAGGGTGATGCTTGGGTCCACATGGCAGGGGCAGGAGATGAGGGAATGGGCATGGATTCCATGGCTGCCCCCAAACCCCAGCTGGGTTGGCTCCATTCCCAGGTCACCCAGGGAAGACAAAGGTGACAGCAGGGCAGGGTTGGCACAGGGGCAGTGACCAGTGTGCAGACAGACACAAGGCCACAGCTCTGTCAGGGCCTCCGGTCCTCAGGGGAGCTGCTGCTGGCCTGGCAGGCTCTGGCTTCTTTCTTCTGCAGAGCTGCTCCTGAGGGAAGGAAGGCAGTTCTGTTGGAGCCCAGTCCTGAGGACCAGCACTGTCCTAATTTCACACCTCAGTGTCCTAATGTTGGGAAACTGAGGTGGGTGGGGGAGAAGATGTGTTTTGGTGCTAAATTTCGTCTTGGCTGGCTCTTACATTGTATTTCCACAGTCCCCACTGGCAACAATTTCTATTTTCTTATTTGCAAATTTATAAATCAAGTCCATGACTTCATCATAAAGATGAAAACACTATTTGCTTTTGAATAATAAGTTTCTGTATCATGGGGCAATGTGAACATACTCGAAAGTAGATGGAACAGAATGATAAACTCCCATGCACCCACCACCTGCCGGGAGTCAGTCCTGCCCATTCACACCCCCTACCATAGGCGCCAAGCAGATTTCATGTGCTGTGGCTTATATGGAAATGTGGGTGGAGCTTTTTGGAGGTGGCAGGTTTTAGGGAGTATGGTACACGGATTGAGTATGTGGTACCGCCTTAGTCCACTAACTGGCTTACAGTTCTGAGTGTGGGTAATGGGCAAGTCCACCGTGCATGTGGGTGGCACCGCTCAAAAGGCTGGTGGCCTTGATAGGATAAAAGGGAAAAGGAGGCCTGTTGCTCTTGGCTGCTGGCTGCTGCCCCCTGCCTGCCTTGCCATGGACTGTTTCTCCTCTGTGCTGCCTCTCTGCCATGTTGCCCTCCTTGGAGCCAGCTGACTGTAGACTGAAACTTCTACAAACTGTGAGCCAAAATGAGCCTTTCCTCCTTTTACTTGTGGGTGTCAGGTATCTTGTCTCAGCAGTGAGAAAAGCAACTAAGACATCACGTATCCTATCATTTGTAATTATCTCACTGTGTCTGTTGAAAGACCTTTTAGAGGACACATAAGCATGATTTGTTATTGTAACACCTAAGGAATTAACAATTATTTAATGTCATTTATGTTTAGTCAGTATTTAAATCCACGCGTTCTCTTATATGTATTGTATTAGTAAAATAACTTATTGGCTGGGTTGTCAGAGTGTACATTTAGTCTTTTTTTTGCTTTGTGGGGTTGGCTTGCAGCAGACACTGGATGCACTGTTCTGGAGCCTCATGGTGGGATTCTGCTGAATGTTTCCCTGTGGGGTTTGGGAACCTGCTGCTCCTCCTCTGTCTTCTGCAAGCCGGGCGTTGGATTTAGCAGCTTGATGAAATTCAGATTTGATCATGGAGAGGGCCAGGCTTTTTTATAGCTCTCTTTTTGAGATGTGAGGTCTACAAGTGTCATTAGATAGCGCTTTCTCTTTCTTGAGAAAGTTGAGGTTGTGGGGTTTTCCTGAGGCCAGGCACTGTGACACAGGATGACCAAAGCCCGCTGCAAGGCTGGACCTGCACCTGCTCCAGGCCTCCCCGCGCTGGGCCCAATGGAGCAGGGAAACCGCTCCTTCTGGTGCCCTCACAGTTCCAGATCTAAGACCCTTTGGAAACACACAATGTCAGAAGCAAGAAAACAACTTAGACTTCTTTGTTCAGATATAGCTACAATTAACCTGTTGTATGGAATGAGACAAAAATAATATATATGTGGTTGGATCTAATTTAGGAAGGGCCCTCTTAAACGACTTTTGGCTTTATTAACAGTGAGAAAGCGGTGTCTAGTCAGCAGAACCCAGACTGAGTTCTGCTTCGGAATCCTTCCCTGGGGTGCTACCGTGGAGTCCCTGCTCCGGGCTCCCAGGCAGGTCACGAGGAGACTGTTAAGGGCTGGTGCTCAGCAGGGTTTGGAGCATTCGGTGTATCTCTGATGTACAATCAATTTAGGATGATTTTATTGGGTTGCACTGCCACTGTAAATTGAGGTGCATTTTGTAATGAAAATAGTGACTCCTTCGTATATCATTTTGAAGCTTGATTGTTTTTCCACTAGGTTGTAAACAGCCAGGCATGGTGGTACATACCTGTAATCCCAGCTTTTGGGAGGCTGAGGGAGGAGGATTGCCACAAGTTTGATATCAGCCTGGGCTACATAGTGAGTTCAAAGGCCAGTCTTCACTACATAGCAAGATCTTATCTCAAAAACTAAAACAAAAACCAAAAATGGTGCACAATTCAAACATTATAAATGACCACGTCAGTACAATTTTTGTTGCCATATATTTTATTTTTTAATTTATTATAATGTATTCATTATGATAACTCCCTATGTAGAACTCACTATGTAGACTAGGCTGGCCTTGCGTTAGTATTTTTGATATAATAATGAATATCCTTGGGTATCACTCTTTCCATTCTATCTCTTTCTGTCCCAAGTTTTTGTTTGTCTTATTGGCATTGGGGATGAAACCCGCGACCTCTGTACTGAGTACTTTCCCAGCTATTTAAAAAATATTTGAGACAGGGTCTCCCTAAGTTGCTAAATCTTCCAGGCTGGGTTCAAACTTGAAATCCTCCTGTCTCAGCCTCCCAGAGTTCTGGGTTAATAGGTGTACACCACCACACCTGGTTGTTATTTTAAAATATTTAAATTCAATTCCTAGAAACAGAATTGCAGGGTTAAATGGTACCTATATTTATAGATTTTTACAGCATACTGCCAAATAGAGACACATCAGTTGGCCCACTTTGTGAAGGACTGGACTTCACAAAGTCCAGTCCTTTGTGAAGGAGTGGCTTTGCTCCCGTCCCCAAGGTGTCCGATTTTTATACTTGATAGGTTCAATATGGACTACTCTCTTTTGGTTTGGGGCCCATTTGTTTTTCTTCTTTTATGAATTGTTAAATGATATGTTTTGCTCATTTTTCTACTGATCTGTTCATTTTCTCACTGAATTGTAACTGTACTTTATTCACCAGTTATGTAAGCATTTTTGCAAATAATGGTATTACTTCTTCCTTGATAGTAATATTTCTTATCATCTTTGTTGTCTGATTAGAGCTTTTTATATTTAGTGTTAACTACCAATGTTAGTAGCAGGGGTAATCATGTTTTATTTCTAATTTTAATGGGATAATCTCTAATGTTTCTGCATAACCAGACACTAGATACTGTTTTTAGACAAATATTTGTTCTGAGTTCTAGTAATTACTACAAGGTTTGAGATTTAATTTTTTTACATTTATTTAGAATATTTTCTAATATTGACCCATTTTTGCTTTTGTAAAACAGACCTACTTTGTTTATTCTTCTCTTTATTATATATCAGATAGATTATATATCATAGGTATTAACATACTATAGAACCATATAGATATACTATAGTATATATAAATATATGTAATTATTATATACAACATAATTGTATGTTTAATTTACTAATTCTTATATCTCTTTAGTAATTGATGTTGATTTATACTTTAATTTCTTTTCTTCTTCTTTTTTTTGAGACAGGGTTTTGCTACTTAGTCTAGGCTGGCCTTGAACTCACTATGTAGACTAGGCTGGCCTTGAACTCATGGTGATCCTCCTGCCTCAGCTTCCCAAATTCTGGCATTATAGTTATTCACCACCATGCCTGGCTCTTGAATATTTTTAATCAGGTTTGAATAATATTTTGTGCCTACTATATTTGGTAAAGCTAATTGAGAAGTTTCAATTTTTTGAATATTCTAGAAGATTTGAAAAACTAGACAATTATTGGAATTAAGAGGAAACAATAGATTTCTTTTGGTGGTGCTGGGGATGGAACCCAGGGCTTCACACATGCTAGGCAAGTGCTCTACCACTGAGCCACAACCCCAGCATCCAACAGAGCTTGCATTCAGTTTCTAGCAATAATTTGATACTTTAGATTCTTCTATAGTTACTGGAATATTTTATTTTGATTTCTTTCCTTTTCTTTAAAAATAATTTTTCTTTTTGAGATAGGCTCTAGCTATGTAGTTCAGGCTAGGCTAGAACTTGGGGTGATCCTTTGGCCTTGGTCTATGCAGTGCTGGCATTACAGGTGTGTGCCACCACACCTGGGTATCTTTTTTTTTTTTCACTTAAAACTTTTTTTTTTTTTTTTTTTTTTTTTACCGGTACCAGGGATTGAACTCACAACTGTGCGCTTGCAAGGCAGGTGCTTATGCCACTGAGCTAAATCCCCAGCTCCCTATGCCTGGGTGTCTTAATTTCTTCTGCAATCAAAGCATCTGTTTTTTGGGGGCAGTGGTCTTCACTTTAAAGAAATTTAGCACTGCGCATGTGACATGCAGGGCCCGATGGGACGCACGCTGATGTGGGATCATCGCAGATACGCTGCAGATCACCAATACAGGGCCTGACTCTAACCACACTGGGAGTGACAGGGCAGCACAGGGACTGGACCTGGAGGTAGAATGTCACCAGCCCTGGGGCTGGGAGTGAGTTGGCCCTGGTCTTGGTTATTGATGGGACACAACACCTGACACCCAAAATGAAGGAAGGAAAGGTTTATTTAGCTCACTATTTGTGGAGGTTTCAGTCCATAATCAGCTGGCTCCAAGGCAGGGTGGCATGGCACATGGGCAACAGTTCAAGGCAGCAGCCAGGGCAAAAAGGGGGGACAGCCTCTTCTCCTCCCTTATATTGCATACAGGCCACCCCCTACCCCCACGGTAGTATGGCACTCACAAAATTTCTGTGCCCTTCTCTTGCATAGGATGAGGATATTTACAAAGTAAGGATCCTGGCTCCTTGCTAAGTCTCTCAGTTAAACTTATGAATTTCTCAAATTGACACATTGTATCAACCATAACAGCCTTGC